AGCCATTTCAAGAAAAAAGCATTCACTCCAAATATGAAAAAAATAATATCAAATTACATTAATCAGTGCAATACTTGTTTGACATCAAAATACGAAAGACGACCAATCGAACTCCCTATGGAAGGACCTCTAATAGCCAAAAGACCATTTGAACATATATTTCTAGATATTTTTCAAGTCGAACAACAAATATTTTTAACATTTGTTGATTTATTTAGTAAATATGCCCAGGCCTACAATTTAAAATCAAAATTATCTAACGAAATATTAAACAAAATCAGACACTTCTTTTCCCATCACAATTATCCTGACAAAATAACTTTTGATCCTGGTGAACTTAACACAAAAGTTATAAAAGAATTCTGTAATATGCACAAAATTGAATGTCATGTTACTAGTGTAGGTAACCCCTCATCATTATCACCTCTTGAAAGATTTCATAGTACCTTGAAAGAAAAACTCAAAATTTTACGTCAGCAAAATAAAATCGATTCGATTATTGATCTAATGACGACAGCTATCTTAATTTATAACCAAAGTGTCCATTCTACGACCACATATACCCCATTTTCATTATTATACGGTCCTTACGACGATTTGAATAAGCATTTGATCGATACCCCCACAAAATTATATGATGAATATAACGAGAAACGGTACAGAGAATTACTACCTTTTTATGAAGAACTATCGAACCGTGTACTAGATAAGGCAACGGAAAGACTAGAAAAAATTAATCAAAATCGAAATAAGGAAATTCCAACCTTAGAAGGTCCAGTATATCTTAAATCTGCATTAGATCGTTCACATAAAACAAAACCCCTGTATTCTAAAGAGACCTCTTACGAACAAGAAAATGTCCATATTAATTTGCGCACTAAAGGAAAAAAGCATAGACTGAATAGAGTGAAACCGCAACGCAAAATTTCTAACTTTCAGGATCCTAATCCAGGCGCTTCAACTAGCCGGTCTAGAGATCCAGCTGATCGAGAATAAAGCACCATATTTTAAGCAAGAGCTAGGTAACGCCTATCTACTAAAAGCGTACCATAAGACATTTTTTCATATAAATCTCACTCTCATTAATGAAAATATCAAGCAAATAACGTCAAATGTCTATTTTGCAAAGCAAAGAATAGATGATACGTTGATAACACAACTTGAACATGAATACAATTTGCTTTTAGACAAATATGAAATGTTAAAATTTAAACGAGTTAAGCGTGGATTATTTAATGGTCTTGGTTCCGTCATAAAATATATTTCAGGCAATTTAGATCAATCTGATCTAGACGAAATAATGGAAAATATGAAAATTCTGAAGGAAAATCAAGATAATTTATCATTACAAAATTCCCGAACCGTCTCTGTAGCAAAACAATTACAAGACAGGTTTGAAAATAACACTTTAATTATAAAGAAAAATTTGAGAGATAATTTGGATAACCTCAACAAATTGCATAGCGAATACGCTAATTCTCAGTATGTCTTGAATGAGATAATAATTATTCAAAGATTTTCTAATTATTTATCACACTTACTGTTAACCATTAACCTGAGCACAAATCAGGGCATAAATCTCTTACAGCTGAGTAAGACTGAAATTAATTATATCCATTCGTTATTAAGTGATCTATTTGACAAAAATGAACTTCTCCCACTTGATAAACTGCACAATTTTGAATTTTTCGAATTATGTGAATTAAGTGTTATAGTCCTCGAAGAAGAAATCATATTTGTTCTTCACATACCAACAGTTACTGGTAACTTTATATATTCCAATATATACCCCATTATACACCAAAATAATATTCTGGTATTGAAACATAAAAATATTATCGAAAATGAAACTATACATTTTTGTGATGAATGCAAATTATTGAGTAATAAATATTTTTACTGTACTATACTAATCCATTCCAGTTGTAACTTACTTAAAGTTGAAAATTGTACATTCTTGGCAAAAGGTTCATTTTCAGAAGTAATTCAATTAAAACATGATAACTATTTAGTGAATACTAACAAGAATATTCCAGTATATGAAGATTGTACCAAAGAAAGAAAAGAAATTGATTCGTCTTTTATTATCAGCTTAAACTGTAAAACATTTATTGATCATACTGAGTATTTGAAGATTTCTGATATTTCGAAACCTTTATACATACCTAACATTATGGTGCACTATGATAAGAATATGTTATTTGAAAATACTGATGTAAAGGGTTATTCGGACATACAATTGAATAATGTTTTATTACACGATAAATTAAAAAATTTAGATTTTTCACACAAAACGTCCACGTTTAGCATTGTAACTATTTTATGTATTTTAACATTTGTTGTAATTATACTTTGTTTAAAAAAACAATTGCTCTCTCTTTTGAAGCAAAAAGAACCAAAAAATCAATCAGTCAAAAATGACATTGAACTTAACCAGATTTTTCCTTTGAACCAGGAGGTTCAATCTTCTTGAAGAGGGAGGAATTACGGCACTGCTATGATGATGATCTAATATGTAGAGTTGCTTAGGTTTGCACTTTTCAATTCCTTTGTTCTAGCGTAGGTTATAAGTAAGAGATGCATGTAAACCAAGGTGACCAGTACTCATTCGTCTTCTGTTAAATAAAGTCGCTTTTTTAAAAAGTCGTTCGTTGTTTGCACATTCTTAATTCGTACAGTAAGTACCATAAAATTATCACTGGACAACAAATTTTAGTTTTTTAATTGTATCTTGTGGGAAAAGTGCACTTCTTAGTTAATTTTGGGGCGCTGAATCCAAAAATGACAATGAAATAAAAAAATTAGTTGCGGTTTAGAAAAAAAACTTTTTATTTTTAAGGATATATTAAAAAAAGTAACAAGATTCATATACTTATAAGAATCACTATATGCGCTGTCTTTTTGCTGTTCTTTTATGGATCGTTTCTGGAGCATCTCTACCAAGAGTCCAACAGTAGTCTGCAAGCATGGAAGGATTCCACTTTCCCTGGTACCTTTTTTCCATTGTTGAAATATCCTGATGAAAACGTTCGCCGTGCTCATCACTTACGGCTCCGCAATTGTCAGGAAAAAAGTCCAAGTGTGAGTGTAGGAAATGTATCTTAAGAGACATATTACAGCCCATCTTTTGATACGATGACAGCATATTTTTGACAAGGGTTTTATAGTTGTCAGATTTTCTATTTCCCAAGAAATTAGTGACCACCAGACGGAAAACATTCCAAGCAGTTTTTTCAATACCTGTTAAAGTGTTTTCAAACTGTGTATCTTTCAAAATATGTTCGAATCTGTGGCCCAACAAAAATACCTTCTTTAACCTTTGCCTCACTTAGTCTTGGAAATTTCTGACGCAGGTATTGAAAAGCTGACCCATCTCTATCTAATGCCTTGACAAATTTTTTCATTAGGCCCAACTTGATATGCAGTGGTGGTAATAAATTTTTTTTCGAATCTACTAATGGCATATGCTGTACATTTTTTGACCTGGCTCTAGGAATTGACGAACAGGCCAGTTTTGTCTGGTGTAATGAAGTGCCTTTGCTCGACTGTCCCATTCACACAAAAAACAGCAAAACTTTGTGTAGCCTAGCTGCAGTCCAAGTAAAAGTGCAACAACTCTCAAATCGCCACAAATATGCCATTGGTGCTCATCGTATTTTATGCATGTCAATAGGTACTTCATATTGTCATATGATTCTTTCATGTGAACTGCATACCCTACAGGAAGAGATGGTAAAATATTTCCAATATGCAATAACACTGCCTTTAAACTCAATGTTGAACTGTCTATAAACAATCTCCATTCTTCTGGGTTATAGTTTATATTTAAATCCGCCAGTAAGCCGTTAATGTTACTGCAGAAAACCAAGTTATTCTCCATATTGAAAAATGGTTCTAAGTCTTTGTGGCGTTTACGAAAAACACATACCGAAACATCGTCTTCTAACAAGTTCCACTGCTGCAGTCTTCATCCAAGTAACTCTGCCTTACATTTTGGAAGTTCTAAATTTCTTACAAGATCATTTAATTCTGACTGTGTTATTTTGTGCGGTTGGTGGCATGACGTGCTCGGTATAAAATCAGGATCTCTTGACGTTGATGGCATATCTTCTTCCTGACGAATCACTCGATCACCATGATCTGATTCGTTTTCTGATTCGCAAGTGTAGGATTTTGGGGGTTTTGGAATAGGATTTTCGTCACTGTGAGGCACAGGTCTCATCGCAGATGGTATGTTTGGGTAGTTAATAACCGATTTTTTTTTCTTGGACATACCTGTGGCTTGTCCAACACAAGGTACCATGCAAAAGTAACAATCATTAATATGATTTGTAGGCTCTCTCCAAACCATTGGGACAGCAAAGCGCATAGACCGTTTTTTGCCATTTAACCAGCTCCTCAGACTTGAAGCGCATGTATTACAGCAGATGTGGGGTGCCCACTGTTTGTCTTGATCACCTAGTTTACAACCGAAATAAAGCTGATATGCCTTCGTTATTAGTGGAGTAATATACCGTCTCTGAGACGCAAAAGTCACATCACCACACACGTAACAAAACTGATCTGGAATGTTTACACACTTTCGAGACATCTTGCATGAACGCTGTCAGCCAACTGAGGAAAAAATGGCTAATATAAAACAATATAATGTACACGTATGTATAACGTAACACAATCATGCCGATTATATCATCTTTCCTTGCCGAATATAAAAATGTAGCACGTGCATTCTTGTGAATTACAGTATATTAACACTGTCACAGCAGGGACACGTATAATTACCGTATCTCTAAAGCTTGAACTAATATTGAAAAAATAAGTTTCATTCCGGTTTTAGCACATTAAAAATAGTAATATTTTGTTGATTTTATTTAGGATATTTTTTGGCTGTTGTTATTATACATAAACTACCATCCTACCTACACGAAAAAATTCAAGGCGCTCTTGTAGTGCATGGTTTGAAAATATACTCCTTGAAAAAAATATTGTTATTGATATAGTTAGTTATTAATTAAGTACTCACCTTTTTCTGGACCTCCCAAACCCAGCTGACAGTCTTCTAGACCTCCTAAACCCAGCTGACAGAAGTCTTCAGTGCCTAATGTGAGTCATACCTGTAACATGCTTCACTATGATGAGAAATACCTATTTGCTACATTTTAAAAACCCTTCGTACCAGTCTGTTAAACATAAAACAACAACTATTACAGTTATTGAACATACTTCAGATGAGGATAGGTTTTTATATCTGTTTATAGTTAAGTTGAGATAGATCAAGTGTTGAATTTTATAAACTTCTTCAGCAAGTGTTTATCGTTAAGTAGAGCAGAAATCAGGATGGACGAACTTTAAGCACAACTTTAGATCCCTTAGAACGTGAACTCCATCCTGATTCCTGAATTGTTCACAACTATTTTAATACTACCTGATATTTTTTAAATTTGCTCACCGTATAACCTGATTGATCCTTCCGCCTCGCCTAAGGCATTTTTCGCAACACACCGATAATTGCCGAAATCCGTTTCAGCTAATCGGCGAACTGTCATCCTCATGTGCGTCCGATATCTGTAAAAATGGATCTTCTCTTACTTGAAACTTGCCCAAGGTCTCGCTTAACAAGGATTCAAAATAGAGACACACCACTGTATTTTTGTAAAAAAATACAGGATGTTTGGTGCATCGTTTGCCAAATTGAAGTGGCGGACAGGCGAGGTCTTTTCCTATCACTCCAGGTCCCTCAAACAGTTTTTAGCCAAATGGCATTAATTAGGTAGATCTTTAAATTTTTTTTGTAAAAACTCTAACTCACATAGGGTTACAAAGAAGAACAAAAAATGTAAGTCTCAATTTTGAATTTCTGTAAAAAACTAAAAGCGCTTACGTTCTTAGAATTCTTTTAAAAACTACTCTAGTTTATCCAGATTCTAATGGTATGCCACAAGTCACGAAAAAGCTGAAATAATTTCTTGAATTTACAAATTTTGCGTACACTGTCAAATTTTTACAATCGGATAATAACAATGAATTTTTGTTTTTGTTGTGTAATTTTTTGTTCTTCTTTGTAACCCTTTGTGAGTTTCTTAATAAAAAACTACATGCTGCTGGCAAGTAATGTTGATTTTGTAAGATTGGTACAACATCACCCATTAAGATAAATTAATCATTAGGTGGACATACTCTTTATTTTTTTTTTTGGAGTTTTTACTAAAAAAAATTAAGAAATCTACATAATTAATTCCGTTGGGATAAAAACTGTTTGAGGGACCTGAGGTGATAGAAAAAGACCTCCTTTGTCCGCCATTTAAATTTGGCAAACGATGCACCAAACACCCTGTATAATTATGGGAAATATTGGAAATCAAAAAGCACAATAATGCTGTGAACAAAAGAACAGACGCATCAGATTTAGGTTTCATGTACTATATCAATAATTTTACGAGGACAAAATAATTACCTAAACATAATAGTTATCAATAAAATGTCAAAACATAAAATATAACAAAAAGATAGCTCATACTTTTGCTACCTAGAAATAGCTTTCTCCTTTCCATCAATCTATACTAAGTGACATATAAATCCGAACACCCAGTTTAAATGGTTTTATTTTAATAAAATTTTGTATAAGTACTTAATGAAGCATAATAAGTAAATGATAAAAATTTCAAAATGATTGTACTGCTTTAAAGCCCTTTGACCTTTAATAATGTGTGGATGCACCCTGATGTGCTACGCATTCTCCAACGCGCCTAGGTATGCTTCTGATCAGGTGGTCACTGTCCTCCTGTGGTATCTCATTCCAGGTAACCACCAACTCCTCTCGAAATGCTTCTAGAGTCTGAGGTGGACGTTGCAAATTGAGTAATCTCCTACCCATCATATCCCACAAGTGCTCAATTGGGGATAAGTCGGGAGATCTTGGTGGCCATGGTAACAATGTGACATCATTATGTTGAAAGAAGTCTATTGTGACTCTTGCAACATGTGGTCAAGCATTATCTTGTTGGAAAGTTGGATCTGCCCGGGGGGTCAAGATAGGGTGAAAGATGGGGTTCTAGAACTTCGTGGATATTATGCTGCGCGTTCATGTTACCTCTGATGAAGATTAAAGGTGACCTGGAACCATAAGCTATAGCACCCCAAACCATAACTCCAACAGTGTGTTGAACATGTCTTTCAACAAAAAACTGTGGATTCCTCCTTTCACCACGTCGCCTTCTAACCCTGGCACGACCATCGTGCATGTCTAAACAAAATCGAGACTCGTCACTAAAGACAATACTGTTCCATTCCTGATCCAGAGTGACCGTTGTCTGCACCACTCAAGGCGATTACGTCGGTGTTCTCGAGTTAAAGGGAGGACAAAGTGTGAAAGAAACGGTTCCTTAAGGCCAATAATCTTAGGCGGCGATCTTCACGGTCTGTTGTTCTACGGCGGCGTCCAGTGCACCTTGCTCTTTGCGTACGGCTTTCTCGAAGCCATGCCTGACAACACCTAACCACAGTGTCTACACTTCTTTGCACTCTAACTGCAATTGCCCGAAAAGAAAGTCCAGCTTCCCGAAGTCCCACTATACGGCCCCTATCAAACTCACTATGTTGACGAAATCGTACAGGTCTCCGTACTCTAGGCATCGTAACCGATCGTAAAGGATGTCAAGAACCAAAATCCGCCAACGTTGATTCTTTACTGCGGCTGAAATATTCATTTTTAGAGCGTTAGTGAATTAAAAAAAAGCAGTATAAAAACCGGAATGTCCAACTGATAAGGCTGAACATTTTTTCACTTGTTATTTACAGTAAGATAAATACATTCACCAACTTTTATTAAAATAAAACGATTTAAACTGGGTGTTCGAATTTATATGTCACTTAGTATACAATTAATTACAGGAAATTAAAAAATCGCAATAGTCCAGTATTGCCTAAAAATGATGTTCTGTCGATATTTTAAAAATTATCATTCCTGTAAAATATTCTTTGACTTATCCGAGTTTATTCGGAGCATGCAGAAACTGCACCGGGAACACCGTCTATGGGAGAATGACGCTCAACAAAGTTTAAGGTAGGCAACTCGCATAGCTCGTGCTAACAACCGATTCAAAACTGCGATACGCGTATGTTATCTGGATACTGACACCCTTTATTTTTCCTTACCTTACCTCGATACGGATAGTTTCATTCTTGCTATAATTACTAGGTTTATTATATGCATCATCGTAACACGAATCTCTGGACTTATAAAATATTCTCGAAACAGAAAAGCAATTCTGACTCACTCACCCGTTTTCTGCAGATTCTGTACCATGCTTTTTGGAGGCTAACAGCACAGCGCCATCTCTAGCCCAGTAGCTGATAGCCCTTGGATACGCTTCCACGTGGCAGTGCAGTGTGACATCCGTGCCCACTGGAGCGCCGACTAGCTGATTGGGCACGTAGATCATTGGTGGAACTGCCAAAATAAAGAAGGCGTATCATGGAACCCGTTTCATATAAAAAAAAAAATTGTATTCCATAACAAAGCTAGCTACATCAGCTGATGACGTACACAGCCAGGCACTGACGTGTTGGCTTAACTAATCGTGAGACACTGCTCGGTAACAGAGTCGTCTTGAAACTGATATTGAGCCTAGAATCAGCTGGTTCGTAATATCAAAAGAAAATCGCAGCGCTGGAGCAGTCGGTATTTCTGGACACTGACCAAGCAGATTGAGGGTAGATTCTACTTCTAGCAATTGACAGGTCCAATGCAGAAACCGGGCAAGTCCTGGACTTGACTGGCTTTTGCCCACTGCTGACAGTACGATTTCTGAACCTGTTGTTATTAACATTGAGCTTCATCGCTCATTATCAGTTATTTTGGGTATTAAGCTGTAATATTGCACGACTGAATTGTCGGTGACTTTCATGGCCCCTAGGCTTTAGTTCTTGGATTAACTAAAGTTTGTATGGTCGCAAAGGCAAGTTTTTTTTGTTCAGAATGGCGTGCGATGAATACCCAGTTCTTGAGAACGATGTCTGGTAGACGTCTCAGGGCGCTCCCTACACTTTCACGAACTCTCTCGATATTTTCCGGAGAACGGACAGTTTGAACAGAACCCGACCTTGGCAAGTCTTTAACTTCACCTCAACTTCGGCTCAATATTTAATTAAAACGTTTTAACAATACGGACGCGTTGTGGAACGGTGTAGCGTTCCATGACGAATTGGACACATGAGCTTTAAACAACTACTAAAAAATAGCGCGCAATTTAAATCAGTCAGTTATATATTGACCACCCTGTATAAATACTCTTTGGCTAAGGCATGAGTAGCAGAGAAGCTATATTGTTCACGTTCTTTGAATACTGTGCGTGTTTCTTCCATAAAAAACTATTTCCCATTTTCCTTGGGGCATTCCGTGCATTAAATCCGTAAACCAGAATGTACATCCTCTTTATCTTGTTCCTTATTGGCAATACGGTGCGCATTTTTGCGAATATATACACAATTTACTGTACGAGCCGGAGCCTTTTATAAGCCGGCATCGTTCTGAGAATTAGATTTCGGTTCGAGCCGAAATAAAGGCTCCTTTATACCATGTTTACATAAAATATTTGCATCTGGGTCTCGACCGTAATTTGTAAACATTACAGACTAGCCTTTTTTGCCTTCTCTGCTGCGCCAACGATCGATCCCGAACGGCTCTTGCGACTATAATTCCAAATTTTAAACAAACAGCGTACGTCGAAATACGTCGTCGCGTTCGAAAAAGTTTCAGCTACTGTTGGAAGTTCGTAATTTGCTTTCGGCGATTCCTAGCGAAACGCGACGTTTTCATTATGAAACAATGCTTGTCTGCGATGTCACATACTTGAGTATTTTTATATGGAAACGGGAAATCGTATTTTATTTTCTCGTCAGTCAGGAAATATCGCTTTGTCATTTTTTTTATACTGAAGCAGTAACGTAGGCATAATGTTACAGTTTGTTTTTATATATATTTTTTATTATACAGGGTGTCCGCAAAGTTGGGGTTTTCCTTTACACGATGTGTAGATCTTGAAAACATAAGCAATTTTTCTTAGTACCATATACACCAATGTCTTAAGGGAACCGAGATAAAGGGCTCTGCAACATCAAAAATATCTGAATACCGTCCTGTAGCCGCGACCCGCCGCGATATCCCAGACTGGTACCGGCTACTAGCTGAACCCGACGACAGAACTGGGTCGGGGGTCGGGGTCAGTGTGTCAGGTCAGTATGCAACCTTCAACCGACGGTAAAGGGTCACGCGTATAGAGGTAACGAATACACCAATAATGAACTCGTTGATATGTTGTTAATTTATGGCGAATGTCTTCAAAATGCTACAGAATCGTCGCGAGTGTATGCAGATCGTTTCCCTAGACGACATCATCCAAGGCCCCGCAGATTTGTGTGAAGAATTACTGAATCGCGTAGACGAGAATACCTCAACAAGCACTAGAGACGTGGCTAGAGAAGTGCAAGTATCAAAAACTAAAGTGTGGCAAACGTCCAACGTGTACAAGCCCTTCAACCTGACGATTTTCCAGCAAGAGTGCGGTTTTGTGAGTGGTTGTTGCATCAACATGACAATAATCCGGACTTTTTGAAGTGCATATTGGTGACAGACGAATCTACGTTCACGCGTAATGTGGTGAATAACTTTCGATTTCAGGCAGAGACGTACTTAGCCCTTCTCGTCAACTGGAGAGTGAGTACTTTTTCCTTTATTTTTTTTTACTTGGTCGCCCTCGTTTCACTACACATTACCTTTGTTATTTCAAGGGTAGTTGTTTCTGAAAAGGAAAACTCCAACTTTGCGGACACCCTGTATATCTTGATATAGTAAATTATTACAACGTTTTTCTCATTTAGAATAATAAATTTTATAAATTTTTCAAAAATTTTGTATTTTATTTTTATCGCAAAACACTTCTTTTGTTCTAATGGTTCTGTGGTGGAGGATCGTACTATACTCTCCATCTCTTTAAAGGTCACTGCCAGGATTTGGTTGATGTTTCTGTTCGACAATAGAGGGCGTGCGGTATGGTTAACGCAGGGATGACCACAAAACGGGAATTATTTTGTCATAGAATTGTTGTTGTGAGGTTAAAACTCATAATTATTGTTGATACCGGGTAACACAATGTCTAGTTAGTTGAAGACTCTTCTGTGTTAATCATTATGATTTTCATGTGGACCTTGCGCATCCGGTTGTCACGAACTTAATTTTTGTATAATGTCCGTCGACCTGAAATACGAGATCTGGACGTGTTTTTTCCTGTGCTCTCGTGTAGCAGGTCAGCGGCCACAACCTACGTTAGTGAAAGAATTTCACATACAGTGTAGCGGATTTGACGGGTTGTGGGAAGTTTTTGGGTATTGCTAGTGCAATTTATATTTTCGTATTGATGTAACCCAAGACTAAATTGTTCCTTATGAAATTTGAATTTTCAATTCTTGGAAGCAAATCAAAAATTAGTCAAATCGTTATTTCGGGTTATTTTTAACAAGTGGTTTTATCTTTTTAGGGTTCTACCTTAGGGTTCTGACTTACATCTGGTTTTTGTTACCCTTGGTTAGTCTTTCCTTCGAGAGGCTATCCCTTCTATCCCACTACCAAGGTGATTTGTTTTATTTTAGTTTTTTGCTGGAAACTATTTAGCTGGTGGTAGTACGAACTAATTTCCTCTTGTTTGACTTCCAGGACTACCTTTAAATTTTTTCTGTTCAAGAAATGTTTGTGTGTCTTGTGAATTTGTATTTCCTTTAGCTCCGGAGATCCATCATTTGGCGGGCAGTTTAAGTTTTGATTTTGATTTTTCCTAGTTCTTGGAACTAGGTGGCGCCCAAACCTCAACCATTTGTATCGAAGATCAAAGTACAAAGAACCACGCTCTGAGGTCTTATTATCTACCAACTGAGTACAGTGTTAGTTTTATTTTTATCCCCAAAGCATAATTAGATATCGCCAGGATAACAATAAGCCTGACTACTGAGGCACCGCGACTGCTGTAAGGAACTTTAACATGCCTTGTTAATCCAATTTTTGAACTTCAGAAATAAGAGAAGACTATTTCTTAATCTCGACCCCCTAGGAATGAGAAGGGGGTAGTCGGTGTTCTACAGAGTTGGGATGGGAGACAGGTATTTCATTTCATTTCTTAATTAGTTCTGTTAGACCATAAAAACATACGACAAAAATGAATAAACCCTTTCACTTCCTCGCCACTGGCGTGGAAAGTAAAAGGGCTTAGAATGACACGTTTCTGTTTGCCTACTTGTCTTTTTTTTTCTCGAAAATGACCTTTGCTATAGAATTTCCTGTTACCTTCACAAATTTGAATTTTCCGGCCGAAATGCTCATGCACAAAGTTTACAAGGAATGAATCCGTTCATATTAACAGAATTACCACATCAAAATCAACTGGAAATTATGTACGCGGCCGGTTAATTAATGTGCAAACTGCGGTCGCACTGACGCTCGCCAAATATTTTACAACAACACTGCTTCAAATTTAGTCAAGTACAGTACCGCTAAATCCAGTCCATGATACGAATACGCAACATATCCCAGAGTTTTTCGGACAGGGAGAAGCTTTTATAGCCACTCTCAGGCAGAAAAGCTCGACGGTATCGCCCCGTTGGCCTTTCCTGCCCGAAGTGTGAGATTCTCCAGTAGCGGCAACCACTCAGTCGTTCCCCACAGATCCTCGCACGGTAATGCTTGTAACATTTTTGCATTGCGGGTAAAGTTTTCATAGCAAGGGTCATACATTTGTACCTTTAGGCAGCAGCGGTGGCCGCAGTAGTAGACTCTTCGGTCTCCTGATCAGTCGCCGTGCGCTGTGCGGGTTTGAATCCCATCCCAGGGGAAATTTTTCTCTTAGCTATGGATGTTGTGATTGTCCGTAGGTGGTAGACGGTCTCTGACTGTCGAACGCGGAGGTACCACCCGGCGGATCTCGTAGGCGGGGCCAGAACGTGTTCCCTCGCCAGAGTCCGTGTGGCGTTCCACCTTTCCCCTGTATCTCCCTATAGCCCCACGATACCCAATGGGTGTTTAGGCCTTAGGCTTTCGTGGTAGTTGGAGTATAAAAAATATCTATGTAACGTACGAGGGTTGTTTTTTATACAACGCCCATATTTTTTATTTTTATTTGACAATGATTATAATCGCAATATTACGTAAGTCTTTTTTATAAATGTACGAATTTGATTTTATGAATAATATAATTTGTGTATTTCTTTATATACGTGCAACCAGTTGCTGTCTCCGCTCTGCTGATATGACATTTGTAGCTTTGTTTGAACATTCTTGATTAGACCAGATAAATTAGGATTTGGTATCAGCGTTTGGACGAATATATTTTTTATTCCACTCTCCAATAGAATGGCGCAGCATATCGGTAGGCACCATAAAGTGTACCGATCTGAATGACTACCTTAGGCTG